CTAACCAAAATTCCACCATCAATGACAATACAAAACGTTGCTACTCTAAGCCACTAAAAAAAAAATGCCACACATGGATTGATAACAAATAAAAAAAAAACAGCTAGCAAGACCTAAGGCCTTTAAATAAAGTAATTGAATAAAGATCAAAAGAACCAAAGCAAATAATGGATTGCAATTGAAAAGTAAATTCTGCAAAAAATGTTTACAAAATCTAGTTATAGCTTCTCTCAACATTGGATCACAAATGAATAGAGCAGCTGTAAAATAATTTTTATTCACGTTTAATTTGGTGAATACACAATATCTAACACAAATAAATTTTTGACTCAAGTAAATCAACAATTTCCATCTAGTGATTTAGATAGGTAAGCCCACAACAAATAATTTTCATCCATAAAAAACTCCTAAATCGCTACAAACGCATAACCATAATAAACAACTATAGTAAAAAATACTAAGAAGCGAGCGAGGAGAAACGGCAAAAAACCCTAAATCGACACAAATACTAAAATCTAAAATTAGGGGAGAGCAGCGGTCGGTTGGAACCGCCCAACCGACCGCAACCGTCGGTTATTGTACCGATCGGTGTGCCGATCGGCCTCCTCGGCTGATCGGCTCGTCGGCGGGAATCCTTCCCCCCCGAACCGACCGAAAAACCGACTACTCAAGGTGACCCATGAGTCCCCCGCCCGGCTGCCCCTGGCACTAGTACTGACCCTAGTACTTCCCCCGAACCCCCCGAGGCCCCGACTCCTGCTGACCCTAATTTCTCCCTCCCAACCCGCCGACCTAACAAAAATCCCCCTCCCAATCTCTCCCGACTCACGCATTCTCCTGCCGGCCGCCCCCTCCCCCTAGTCTCAACTCTAGACTGCCCCGGCCCCCGACCTGATTCCCCTCGCCCCCCTCCTCCACGAGTCCCGATTCCCCCGCCCCCCTCCCACGGGTCCCCTCCACGAGTCCCGATTCCCCGGCCCCCTCCACGAGTCCCAATTCCGCCCCCCCACTCAAGTCCAGAAATTTCCTCCCCTCCCGTGACTACGAGTCCAGAGACTTAATTTCCCTCCCCCTTCACCCTTGCTATACTATGGCGGTTCAAAAAAAACGACGAAACCGACTTTATACTATGGCGGTTCGGTCGGTTATATCCCAAAAATTTTTAGTCGGTTTTTAGTCAAAACCGACCGAACCGACCAATGCACACCCCTATCCAAAATCAACAATTTTCTTCTAATGATCTAGATAGGTAAACCCACAACAAATAATTTTCATCTATAAAAAAAACTCTAAATTGTACAAAAATTGAAAACATAGTAAACAAAAGCCATTACAAACAAAATAATAAAAACAAAGACACAAAAAAAAAATTTCCATCTATTCATTCCCATAGGTAAACACAAACACAAAACCACTATAAACAACTACACTAAAAAATACTAATTGGCAAGAGAGAAGACACAACAACGAAACCCTTAATTGAAACAAATACTAAAACCAAAGATCAAGCCAAACGCTAGAAACACAAAAAACCAAAATGATTAAAAACAAAATAATGAAGAGAAAAATGAAAAAAACGTTGCATATAAAAACACCTAATAGAGCAGAAACATCGTCCACCCAAAAAGAGAAAGCAAATATGATAAACACACAAACGGCAAAAAAACAAGTGAAAAATGAAAGAAACCCAAAAAGAGAACCATCCTAAATACAAAAGCCAAAAGTGAAAAACCCTTTGAGGAAGTTGTCAAAACCTATAACCAACCCAACAATCATCATGATAGAAAACCAACAAATCAAAAAAAAAAGATATCAAATATGAAAACCTGAAGCAATATAATAAAGAACACAACCTACACAAAAAATACAATGAAATTCATAAAAAAAAAACCACACATCCAAAACTAATTCATCAAAAAACGACAGATTAAAAAAATAAATAATAATAAAACTCCAAATACCCAAAGATGAAAGCAATTGAGCATGACCTGCAAAATATAGATGACAGAAACAAAATGCACCAACCAATAAAATAAAAAAAGAATCAAAATGAGAAAAGCCTACAACACCAAAAGCCAAAAAGGAAGAGAGCAACGAAAAAGGAAAAAAAATACAAGAGTAAACAAAAAATAGAAATTACACTCAAAATATCTAAGAAGATGCAACATGAAAGGCAAGAAAGAGAACAGGAAGTAAGAAAAGTGACAGTAAAGGGATACAAAAACTAACACAACCAAAAAGAAAACTCTAGAAACCCAACTGGAAATGACAAAAAACTCATAAAGAATATATTCACATGACAGCAATAAAAAATGCCAAATGTCAAGTCAAAAACCTTGTCAAGTGTCAAGCTAGGAGCCCACAAAACTTCCTTTAATATACAATTATGTTATAGGCTATAGATAATATTGAAGCAAATAACTGCAAATGAAATTTCATAGCTGCACAAATTCTATTTGTAAATTATATTTAAGTCACTAAATTGTGAAATTGCTAAGAAATGGTTACAAATATACAAAAAACATAAACAAACTCATACTTGCAAATAACAATAGTAAAAATAATACATTAAAAAAAATAAACAGAAACTTTAAATGAATTCAATCAAAAAAAAAACCCAGACCTACAAAGAACAATAGTAAAAACAAAGAAGCATGAAACAACCTATCAAACACAAAGAAAAAAAAAAGGAAAAGGAAATTAATTCAAAACAGCAATTAAACAAACAGTAAAACTAAAATAAAAAATCGAACAACAAATTTACGTCGCATTAACAAAATCTAAAAAACTAACCAAAATAAAACAAAAATTGAAACAATTAAAGCATAATCTTAAAAAAAAAAAAAAAAACTCTTAACCTGTGACCAATTCAACTCCAAGCAAATTCATTTTCAAATGAAATAAATCAAACCAATTTCTCTCATATTCTTTACTTATCATGATTAAGCTAAAAATAACAAAAGCCATCTTCCATATATAATTTTTATCAAAAAACATTGTCAAATATGAACAATCAAATGAGAGCAAATTAACAGAAAAAAAAACGAATTGCCCAACTCATTCCTTACCTAACTCAAATTAAAAATGAAAACAGCAAGACATGAACAATCAAATAAGAGAATAATATCATGAGGTGATTTCATTCCATTTTCAAAGCTTACAATTCAATCCTAAGATTAACCCAAAACAATTCATTTTGTTTCTCAAGTCTTTCAAGCGCATATGTCCTGTCAATTTAGCGTATTATTTACAATTTAACAAACCAAAATAACAAAACATGAACAATCACATAAAAGAATAATATCATGAGATGACTTCGTTCCAATTTCAAAGCTAACAATTAAGGTCAGAGATTAACATAAAGCAATCATTTTTTCTCTCAAGTTTTTCATGCATATAAGTGCTATCTATTTACTACAATTTAACATAAGTTCACAACTCTTCACCAAAGCATTCAATTACTATACATATACATAGATAAAGAAAATAAGCAAGAAAAAAGAGCAAGAAAATGAAAGAATAGGGAAACCAAAGAGAAGAGAGAACAAAAAGACTGAAGTAAAAGAAAGACATAAGAGAGAAAACATTTTAGAAGGGCAAAGGGATTAAAAAGACAAAAGTAACATAAGGATATAATACAAATCCCACAATACCCTCAAGAGTAAGACAAACATTAAAATACATTAACAAAAAAACTCCAAGCATTTACAAAATACTCAAAATTAAAAAAAAATTACACATTCTAAATTCTGAAAATAACTTCACTTTTCTCCAAAATAACAGTCCCAAAATCAAACCCAAAATAAAGGCAAAAGGTTGAGAGCCCAAAGCCGAATAGGGCGATATGTCAAACATTAGTCCTACCCGTATGACTTCCACCACAGGTGAAAAGCACCACACAAACCCATAGAAATCAAAGCACTGTTAATGAGGCACAAAAAGAAAAACAAAAACGTGGCCAAATCTAGGGGAGTTTTTGGACCTCTCTTTTACTTATAGTAGTCGACTTGGTGTCCTCTCCTCTTCTCTCCCCTTTGTCCCCTCTCTTTGCCTTCACCCTCTTTCTCTTTCATCCTTTTTTCTCCCTCAGAAAACATCAATAGTTTAAACAACAGGGATAATGAAGAAAGAAAGCCCTAGGCGACAGAAGTGGAGGAGAAAAGAAGAAAAAGATATAAAAGGAAAAAAATTTAAAAAAAAAAATGAAAAAAGAAAGAGAGGGATTGGGAAGCTTTCATGTACAAAACTCAAAATATTCCTAAGAAAACACCAAAAAAACAAGCATAGGCGTTACTCTAAACCCCTTTATACATGAGATTTATTATATAGTAGATTGATTTGAAAATAAAATTAACTATTACATATAAACAAAAATATTACTAATAGTGACTATATAAATAAATCAATAGCATCATTTAAATTGATACAAATATTTAATAATTTTTTAAAATTTTATTTTTATATTAAAAGTTTATCTACAATGTATTAAACTAGTCAATAAAAATGAATAAACATCTATTGAGAAAATAATAATATTATTTATTACATTTGAAAATGACATTGCATTAACATCGATTGAGAAAATAATAAAATTATTTATTTGTAAAATTATTTATAAATTCAATTAATATTAAAATGATTCGAAACAACCCAAATCATTAATCCAAAATAATCCTTACTAGAAAGGATCCAAATTCAAAATAACCCAATTTAATGAGTTAAACTCAAAATAAACCCAAAAATGTGATCCGAAATTAATTTGAACCATCATCGTAACCCATAATGAATCCCAACCATTATATCTAACCTAAACCCACCAAGCACCTTGAGCTAGATAACTTGTATAATTCCGTCGCTCATTACCATGCTTTTGTGATCTAGCGATTATCAAAATTTTGGCTCAACTCACCAACCCAATGAACAACAAAATTCTTGTGATCATCTAAATGCAAATGTAACCCAGAAGAGATGAATTCCGATTCGCCCCTTGGATCCCAGGGTTTGAAGAAAACACGAGAACCAAATGCAATATCGAAATATGAACTTGAGCATCCAGCGTTTTGTCGGAAAAATGTACACATCCGCCTTCTATTTCCCCTTATTAAATAACAAGAAAAAAGCGGGCTTGGCAGAACACGCCCCCCCAATCCTATATCTCTTTCACACTCTGGAGTAACATCATCAAAACATAAACCAAAAACATCCTGGTACATTTGATCTCAAAAAATGAACGTCCTGTTGCTGGCATTGCCAACACCACCTAGATTATTTTCGCAACTATCCAGAAGGAGACAAGAAAGGCATGTAAAAAGATTAATTAGGCAGCAGACTCCTTGGCAATCTTATCTGCCTTAGCAATGACTTCCTCAATCCCTCCAACCATGTAAAAAGACTGCTCTGGAAGGTCATCATACTTTCCATCCAGCACTCCCTGTACAAATCAAGGTCACGGGGGATGCTATCAAACACCATACACGATTTAAATGCTGACTCATGTATAAATGACCACAAAATGCACATAGCCAGGAGAGTAATAAGATAGATGTTCTTGATCAAGATAAGTTCTGATCAGAAAAGGTTTTGAACAATCTTTTTTCTTCCACTTATCATCAAATTCTCATTCATGAAATAGCTCTGAATATGGACATGTAACATGAAGCAAATTCCCATGCCATATAGCCCAGTTTGTAATATCTAAACCACAAGTCGACAACAATCAGCCCACAAAAACCAAGAAAATTAGCATATTATCTCACTACCTCGACTGGGGTTAGCTATATAAACAACGTTGCACCATTTTGCTCTATTTTAAGACAATATTATCTATGTATCACCCACATTATGACAAATAATAACTTAGGCACTATATATAACATCTGCTACTGCATTCAACAACTTTTAAATGCTACACTTGTTTTAATAATAAAGGATATAATACCACGGATCAGCCTATTATAAGAAATTAATCACTTGCTCATACACATCTTCACACATGATGGTTCATTAAAGCAAGTCAAGCAGGGAGAAAATCATACCTGGAAGCTGCCAATGCTCTCCTTCAACTCAACATACTTGCCAGGAGCACCAGTGAACACTTCTGCCACATGGAAAGGCTGGCTCAAAAACCTTTGGATTTTACGAGCACGTGCAACAGTCAACTTATCATCTTCACTAAGTTCATCCATCCCCAAAATGGCAATAATATCTTGCAAGTTCTTGTAGTTTTGGAGAACCTTCTGCACACCACGTGCAGTATTGTAGTGTTCCTCACCCAAAATATGAGGGGAAAGCATACGAGATGTAGAATCCAATGGATCCACAGCAGGGTAAATACCAAGCTCAGAGATCTGATAAAAAGGAAAAGTTTTATGAGC